ATGGATGGATGGATGGATGGATGGATGGATGGATGGACGGGTGGAAGGATGGATGGATGGATGCAAAGATTGAATGATGGATATATGGATGGATGGATGGATGGATGCATAGTTTAATGGATGGATGGATGGATGGATGGTAGGATGGGTGGAAGGATGGATTCATTGGTTGATGGATAGATTGAAGGATGGACGATGGATGGATGGATGGTTGGATGGATGATTGAACAGATGGATGGATGGTAGGATGGGTGGGTGGATGCATAGTTTAATGGATGGATGGAAGGATGTATAGTTTGAATGATGGATGGATGGATGGATGGATGGATGGATGGATGGATGGATGGATGGATGGATGGATGGATGGATGGGTGCATAGTTTGATGGGTGGGTGGATGGATGGAGGGATGGATGGATGGTAGGATGGGTGGAAGGATGGATTGATTGGTTGATGGATAGATTGAAGGATGGGTGGGTGGATGGATGGATGGTTGGATGGATGAATGAACAGATAGACAGATGGATGGATGATTGGATGGATGGATAATGGATTGATGGTTTAATGAATGGATGAAAAGGTGGATGGATGGTTGAGTGGATGATTGGATGGATGAAAAAGTTTGATGGGGGAAACATTAATGGAGTCTGACCCATTCCTACAGACGGTCGATGTTTTCAGGAGTTGGGAGCAGGGTTTTTATTTGGTTTGTTGGTGTTTGTTAAGCTGGTTCTCCTGGTTGCTATGGCGTCCGGAAAGATCTATGGTTGCTCTGGTTCTGGTACTGGCATTTTTATGTCACATCTACAAACTGAAAATGTATAGCAATCTTTGCAATAGGAACTAATTTCTCTGACAGCAGGACTCAGTCAGAGGACTAAAAATGGCTTTTGATCTCAGACCAGCCAGATGAATGAATGAATGAATGCAGGATGGATAGATGGATGGATGGAGCAGTGGAGCAGAACCTGTGGAACCGCTCTGGATCAGGAAGTCCTGTTTATGCGAGGCTGTCTGGGTTTTGTCGCAGGATCCTGGAGGTCAGAGTGGCGGGGCTGGACATTGGCAGCACTCAGACCACACATCAGATTACAGCACTTCAAATCACATCAGCCTCCATTATATTCCGGGTCATTACATCACATTAGGCCAGACACTGATCCCAGATCTGATTAGAACCATCGATCCCTGCAGGGCGGGCAGAGGGGGGAGAGGCAGGAATCATATCAGCCCACACTACATTTCCCATCATGCACCTGTCAGTGTCAACAGTAACTGGAGACGTCCACAGTGTTTCCCTATTCTCTTTTATCTGATCGGCGCTGGTTCTGCTCATTTTCTGGTTCTGTGTGGTAAACTTCTCTCTGCAATTGAATAGTGACATCATCCCAGGTGTCTCACCTGTGTGTCTCTGCAGGTATCGCAGATCGCTGCACAGCTGTGAAGTATCACTTCTCTCAGCCGATCCGATTGAGAAACATCCCACTGAATCTGACCAGAACCATCCAACAGGACGAGTGGCACCTGCTACGTGAGTCTCCCCCCCCCCACACACACACACACATGCAGGAAGTGAAAGTTACCTGCGAACGGATGACACCTGTGTGACATCACTCGGCACTGATCACAGCAGCTCTGCTTCCTGCGTTGCCTGTCGTCATAGAAACATATCATGGCGGTTATGTAACAGAGGGGGTGAGCAGGAACCGTTACCATGGCAATGCTCTCTGTGTTTCTGAGCCTCATTAAACACAGAATCAGATGAAAAGATGTTTTCCTGTTTAACTAGAAACCAACAGAAAGAGCAGAGCCAGAAACAGTTCTTCTCAAACACAGAACTTGTTTGATATTGTAGGTCCATACATAAGCGCTCAGCAGAACCACACAGATATGTAACTATCTGTGTTTGTCGTCCTCAGATCTGCGGCGCATCACAGCGGGCTTCCTGGGCATGGCGGCGGCCGTCCTGCTGTGCGGCAGCATCGTGGTGTCTGTGGGATTTTTCTGGGAGGAGAGCCTGACACAGCATGTCTCCGGCCTGCTCTTCCTAATGGCAGGTAACTGTCTGTGTCTCCCCCTGCTGATGGCAGCGTAGGTCTGCAGCACATAGCTGTGCCGAAGGTCACACTGAGGGGTTATGGGAGCTGCGTCCTTCTCTCTGACACACAGCTTGAATAGACTTCAGTACCACAGCTGTGGTTATTATTACAAATACATCAAACTCTAAGCAAATTTTTTCCACAAGGTGCCTGATATTTGATGCGACTCTTAAACAGGCTGTGCTCCTGCTGCTTTTAAAGGCATCCATGACAAGTTGAACATGTTGGCTTAATTTGTTATAACTTACCTTCTAATATAAAAATCCATCCTTGTGATACCAAAAAAACTCATAATTACTTCAAGAATTATATTTCCTTGTTATATTTTCCACCCATGGAGGTTGCTATTTTTCTCACCTGTGCAATGCATGCTGGGTTGTTAGTTCTGGTCTGGTTAGTTCTGGATCCTACAGAGTAAACACAGGAGGGCAAAGATTAGCAGAGATGTTTTTCATCCTATTGCATTTGTTTTTCATTCCCTCTTCCACAAATTTGATTCATTACAGGACCCTGCATTACAGGACCTAGCATACGTGGTTTACCCAGAACACACTGCAGTCTAAACAACACCGGTTGTGTCAGAATGTCCGCCCGTAACCCTATATAGAACATTCCAAAAAAAGAAAATTAAAAAACAATCCACTGGACTCTGTTTCCAAGTTTGAAGACGTTTCGCTTGCCATCCAGC